ATTGATCTAACCCTCCGAAAATAGCAGTGAGTCGGGGTCACGGTCTGCTATAGGCAGGTCAAAAACAACACGTCACTGATGATAATTAGATGATTATGTTGTATATAATATATCTCTCCGTGTGTCTATATATATATATATCTATATATGCATTTGCCATCATTTGCCACCGTGCAGGGCAGCAAAGGCTCACAGCTAAAATGCCTAGCTTCCGGTTTCAGAGTCCAATCAATATGCCCTGAAATACTCAGCCCCCGATTCATACTGCAGCAGCACTCCGCTGATCATTTGACAAGGCACTTGTGTCCTGGCGTGGTTCCGATTGAGGCCATGGGGTGCAAAGGCAGGACCATTTTTTTCCAGTGGGCAACAGGCGGGAGGACAAACCAAAGCACAGTGGAATATGCTTGGATTGGAAATGATTGGAATATGCTTGTGACCGAGAAATACCAAGAAAAGGATGTGAATAGATGGATCTGTCCAAAGACCAGTTCCCTCAGACTCCCAGTGGCCTTCGGGCAACTTACGATAATTTGCGCGCGAGCCTGCCCACAGGTCCCAAGCGGGCCTCGCCTTCAGATTGGTCTCGGCATGTTCGGCCATAGCGACAGGGTAGCCGCTGCCAATCAGAATCGGTTGGATGTGCATACCTCAAAGGCCGGGACAAATGATCACATAAAAAGCCGGCCCAAACTCCAAAACAAAGGCAACCTATGGACTCTTGGGTTCGGTCAAGACCTGCCAGTGTGGATAGTCTGCGTAGTCTGAGTGTCTGAGGCATTGGTATCACCATGACTAGCAAGCTCTTCACCGATACCACGGTCATTTCAACCCAATATGGCAAGCTGCTGTGCTCGGTGGCCCTTCTTTTGGTCGCGACACTTGCCTCACCCCGTGGCTCTCTAGGGCAACTCACAACTAACATCTACAACAGGAACTTCCCCAAACTTCTGGCATGCAAAACAAGACTCATACTGTCTCAAACATACATGGAGAACATACAGTACTAAAATCTAACAATATGATGGGAATGGTCTCCAATTTCAATACACACAACGATGCATGCTAGGCTTCTCCACCAATGCTTAGGCATGCATGGCTTTATTTCTGCCAATAGCGGTGTTGGCACAAAGGAAGCCCCAGAGCCCCAGAGCCCCAGAATTGAAACGCACAAACAGAAGGCATCAGTAGGTGGATAGCACCAAGACGACTATGTAAAACTGCGTAAGTCTCATATTATATAATATTCAACTCAACTACAATTCAACTACAACCACAGAATCCCACAACTTTGATGGAGATACATTGAGACCTTTCATGACCTTTCATGACGCATCCCAAATCCCGAGAAATCTGAAAAATCCGAGAAATCCCGCCTCCAAATTTGCAGGGCGTCCGGAAGTGGCCTCTGAGGCGCATGCCATCCTCCGTGGTGATGCCTTCGTAGCTTGGATCCACCAAGCGCGGGCAGTGCTGCAGTGGAGTCCAGTTGTTAGCCACGAAGAGACATGACCTGGGCACTTCTGACCATGAGCCACATCAAAATCATTTCAACTCATCGAAGTCATCGAAGTCATTTTTCCAAATCAATTCAAATCATGTTCACAATTACTGGATATTACAGGCCAGGGTAGTGTAATAATAGTAATTAATATATTGAATGTTCTTGGAAAGCTTGTTCACACGGGAAAAGTTTATCAACCTGTATCAACATTTATCAGCATACACCTCATATACCCTTCCAATGTTTTCAGTGTTCCCATGTTTTCCCCATGGTCAACATATGTCAACATTGTCTCCTCCGGCTATCTCCGGATATCTGCAAGTATACCGCAAGGTGTTTTCGTGCTGGCCAAGTAGCCGGTAAGCAAAGCGCCGCGCGGCCGCTGCATTGACAGGTGCCGCATCCAGGGCCACGCAGTCCCTGGACAGGTGGGATACGGCGGATATGGGATACTTTCGAATGCTTGGGTGCCCTGCTTGCACATTCTTGGCACAATTACTTACCAGATCTATCCAGATCTTATCATAGTTGTTTGAAATACTACCACTAGTCAACTGTTCCATATTACTTCCGCTGATGACACTGCATAAGCTCCAAAGTCTGTGCGCCATTTGGAGGCATCAAACCTTCATTAGGTGCATTTGCGTGCACGTGCCAACAAACCTCCTCACCGGCAGGGAACCAATGGTGAATCAAGGTCAACTGGAAACTTCACCACTGGGCTTGAACTGGGCTGGAAATTGTCCGACACTCATGTCTTATGCAGTCCACGTGAATTGACTCTCAAGCCTGCAATTACTTTATTGAGCGATCCATACAGAACCTCTTCAAGACCCAACAGCTCACACGGGCTCACACGCATCCTGCACTCCAAGTCACTGGTAGACCGTCACAACGTCGTTCAAATCCAGGAGCGGACAAGCGATCTGACCTGGACAAACCAACGAATGCTGAAGGCGAAAACCTGGACCTAGACACATCCCAGATCATCCCACGCAATGGGAAGCTTTCTCGTTCATATTCTTTCATATTCTTTCATATCATCTACTAATTCTTCTAGTTTTCAGGCCCCATCATCTTCACATTGATCCATTATACTGAATGATAAGTGCTTTCGGATTCGGATAGTGACTTTAGAAGCTACTTATGGTTGAGAGACATTGCATAAGATGACAAAAGTTTCATGCGACACAAGTGCCGCATATTGGCATGGAACTACATATACTCTGATATTCTTCATGATCCTCATGCACTCTGTCACAACGGCAGTGATCCAGGAAAGAGCTACAATCCAGGACTCCTAAAGTCGAAGTATACTCAGGCAGTTGCACTCTGTGTCTGCATGTACATGCATGTACGAGCATGGGTGGATATGGTGGATGGATGGATTCGCAGGGATCTTTAATGATCTTTATTAATCTTTATTCCAGCAATTTCTTCCACATCACATCCCGTGACCGAATGCACCTGCGACTGCACCAACAGTATCGGTGTCGCCACCGACGTACAGCATCCGCTGCAGCCATTCAACGCAAGATTGGGATGCTGTGGCACACCAAATGCCAATAATGACCTTGACATAGGGATCTATCTCTAAATCTCAACATTCGAGAAGAAGTATGTTGAACTCTGAGGATGACTAAAAGCATCTAAAAGCCATTAAAAGCCCATTTTGGTACAGGCGCCATGTCCTTTCGATTGAGTCTGCTCTAAACAACTCATCACAAATGACACTGGTTGCACGAAGGCGGGCAGCTTCAAGATGCTTCAAGATGCTTCAAGCATCAAAGGTCCGCTATGGTCCGCTGGCAAGGTGCTGTGTTCAACGCCCTCTGGCTGAAGCGCACCAGGACTTCAGGTTGGTTTTCCACCGTCAGTCGCACGCCATGGTGGTCCTCTGGTGCAACATGTCTCGCAAGATCTCGCAAGAGTGATTGCAAAGCCAAGGCGAAGTCCCATTGTGAACCACCTTTGGATCTACTGGACACCCTTCATCTGCACACCTCACTACATGTATGTAAGATTATGTAAGTACTGGCTCACTAGGTCACTAGAATATATCACTGGAATCACTGGAATTTTGAAAAGACACCGCTCGCAGTAAACACCGCCCCCAATCACATCCCCCAACCTGGCGAGCCACCAAACAGGTTCAGAGATTCATGCCGTCAGAATTGGGCATTTTACCGCACATATACACACATCATACAGTTTATGCATAGACACACACAAATATAATATAATATGATATAATTTAATTTAATTTAATTTAATATAATATAATATAACATAATATAATATATATAATTTAATTTAATATTATAATATAATTTAATATAATGTAATATAATGTGATATAATATAATATAACATAATATAATTTAATATGATATAATATAATTTCATATAATATAATATACTATAATATAGTATAATAATATAATGTATACATTTTATTCATACATATACACACACCCACATAGTACTGTATATGTATATCTGTCCATTTGCAGTGTGAATACAGTCAGTAGATGAACACTCATCGTACGATATCGTATATGTATATGTTGTGGAGTCAGAATTGGCATGAATTGGCACACTGCCAAGGCTCGTCATCATAATTCGAAGCAATGCCTCTGGTGGGTGCTAGACAGTTGCACTGGCTTCTTAGGTTTGCATTTCTTGAGGTGTCCGGGACTTGCACAATCATGAAATTTCAAGAACGTCCAAGCTGGCAAAGCAAAGGGGAACCAGTTAAGTGAAGGTCTTACAAAATTCAGCACGATGCTCAAGGAACGACTCGTCACATGCGCCCCGCTGCGCTGTCTTTGGACATATTTGATCATGTTTGGACACAGTGACAAGAGTTCACTATACCATGCTTGTCCGTGTCTATTCTATTCTGATTCTGGTCTGCGACCCTACTGTGCTTGTCATCGCACCGCACCGGGGAAGAGAAACGACCGCATGTGCAAACTTGCAAGAAAATCAAACTAGTGCAAGCGCCGCCAGACCAAGGTGCAAGCCGGGGAAAGGTACAAACCCAAACACAAAATGAAAGAACATCAAACAACAAGACCAACCCAATCCATGCACCCATACACGACATATTTTCAAAAAATGGCACCTGAACAAATCATAACAAATCCATACAAATCCACCAAACTAGCCAGTGATGAAAGAGCCTCCGTGAAACCTATCGGTCTAGGGATGTCTGAAAGTCTGAGAGCTTTAGTTCCTTGATGCTGGGAATTTCCGGACACAATTCGAGGCACTGGATTTGATGCCATCTGCCGCCCAGGAACGTAACATTTCTCCGAAGCATCCAAAGGGGCCTAGTACTGCATCTTGGAACCCATTTTGACAGATTCACTGGATTTTCACTGGGATTTCAAGGGTAGCTAAGTGGATTCCAATGTGAATCTCTCAGCACATCTCAGCACTATGTTTCTCGAGGGCTTTGTGAATAATCTCCCAGCTGTGGACCAACAGGTTCTAGGTGTTCCGAACATGTCCTACCTTCCTGAACATCCAGCCAACTGCCGTGGAAGCTTGCCGAACACTTGCAACTGACGTACCTTGCATGGTCACGAGGTCACCTTCCCAAAGCGAATTGCCAGACCTGGCACGATGCTTTGCCATCTTTGGTCAACTGGTCTGACCTGCATGCACTTTCTCTGCAAGGATGCCTTTAGGGTTGAATCGTATTAAATCTATGATGGTTTTAGACACTAATTATAGATCCCACGAGACACGTCTCAAAAATCCTTAAATTCAATTGGCCTGGGGCCTATTGCACTTGAGGCCAAAGGGAATGGGACGAAAGCATACGAAAGCCAGTTTGGCAATGAGGTTGTGCAAGAATGGGTAGTTCCTCGACTTCGCTTATTGAAATGTCTATGTGCAATGTCATAATGTAGCTTTCCACGATATTCCGTGCCATTGCGCAATCCGAGTGCCGCAAGGCTATACGGTGGTATACAAAAAATGACATAACCAGGAAACGGTTGACATGGTTGTATCGTGGTTTTGCTTCCTACGAGCAAGCTGAATGTTTGCGTATCACGTTCCAAATGATGCAACCTGGCACACATGTGCGAGAATTTGTCCTACTACCTGTCTTGTGCAGCTAAATTATACAAGCAGAACAGGTTTAGTTTAAAATATGGTTCTAGCAAGATTGTATTTTTAGTGACCACTTTGCTCTTTGAGCGTCGTACCCACAATGTCACATGCAGAAATATGCACGTCAAGCTTGTCGACAACTTGTGCTGTGCATAAAAATGATATAACCAGCAAAAGGCTGACATGGTTGCATCATGGAAAGAGAGGGCCCTTGCAAACGCTATGAGAAAAAACATGTGGAGAGGGGAAGTGCCAGAATGTTTGAGACGGAGTGGAAACATAATCTCTCCATGGTATCGTGGTCTTGCTGCTTATATGAGCAACGTGGATGCTTACGTGGCACATCCCAAATTTCAAATGCTGCGAGCGTGAGTATGCGCGAAAAAATCCACTACTAACTGTACCAAAATGACGCAACCAGGAAAAGGATTATGGTCACCGACAGAATTATGGAAAAAAATAAAACGTTCAACTTAGACAGGCGGCGCCTGCGTCCGATTTTTCCATAATTGGATTTTTCCCCATAAGGGTTCAAAATATCCCGGAAGTGATCCGAACCTTTTTTTTTTCCATAATTCTTGGAGGTGGCCATTATTTCCATAATTGACTTTTCCTGTGAAATCAGGGGGCTAGGGCAGATTGACCGGTTTTTCCTTAATTATTTTTTCCATAATTAATGTTTGGGGCTCCACCTGTTGGACATGTCATGGATCCACAATTCAAACCCGTTTTTTTTGGAGTTATGGAAATATGTATGCAAATGCAAATATGTAGTATCAACCCAATTGGTGGCTTGGCAAAAGGAAACATCCAGATATTATGTATATCAATGGCAGGCTTTAAAGGCATATACCAGATCTTTAGACACATATTTTCTATAATTCAATATTCCCCCTTAAAATGCATTCAAATTGCGAACATCACATGATATTATGTATATCAATGGAAGACTTAGGGGCATATACCAGATCTTTAGACACATAGTTTCTATAATTCAATATTCCCCCTTAAAATGCATTCAAATTGCGAATCGATGGACAGTCACCGACAGAATTATGGAAAAAAAATAATTATGGAAACAATAATTATGGGAAAAAAAAGGTTCGTAACTTTTCTATCATAGACAGGCGGCGCCTGTAAATTGAAACGTTTTTTTTTCCCATAATTCTGTCGGTGACTGTACATGGTTCCATCATGACTGTATTTTTCGTGCGCATTTTACTTTTTGTGCATAATACCTAATTACGATGTTATGAGCGGAAATATGCACGTCACGTTTGTCGACAACCTGTGCCGTGCATCAAAATGATATATACAACTGGGAAAAGGCTTGTACGGTTGCCTCATGGTTTCGTTTCTGGTCAGCACCCTGAATGTTTACGCATCAGACGCCGCATGCAGAAACATGCACGTAACCTTTCCCCACAAACGCTAGTATGTAAAAATTATATAACCAGGATAGGGCTGAGATGGTCGTGTCGTGGCTTTGCTTCCGGTGAGCAAGAGGACTGTTTGCGTTCAGATTCCAAAGGCTGCAACCGGAAATATGCGCGAAAATGTGTCCTACGTAGCCAGTCCGCTGGACGCAGCGGGTTTGAGCCCGCAGGGGGGGAAGGGAGTAAATGTTTGACCTGATTAATCAGGCGGAACCTCGGTGCCCCAAAACCAGTTTGACCTGAAACATCAGGGGCACTGTATTCAGTCTGCCCACTTTTTTATTGCGAAAACAAATCCAACTCCAGCTAGCAAGCTAGCTTTGGTGACATAGTCTTTCTCACATTTCCCTCATGACATGCGGTGTTTGAAGGTCGTCCATTTCACTGCCACATGTTTCTGCAGTCTTCCAGCCTGGTGATTGAATCCTGTAGGTA